TGAGGGCGACATAACCTGCAGCGGCAGAGGACTTGGGCACCAGAGCAGGGACCACTGGGGGGAGAGGGGCGCTCTCCTGGAGGCCCGCCCTCCTCCCCAGGCTGCCGGGAGCCTTCCGTGTGCCCTCGGGCATGGCCTTGCTCAGAAGCAGCAGCTTTAGGCGAGGGACGTCCGCCTGCTGAGAGGGTCCCCATGGTGGTGGTAAAAGACCCTGCTCTTCCCTCAGCCGAGGGGTAGGCATGCAGCCTCTCACTTGATGGCCACTTTTCAGCCGTCTGGGTGAGGCACCGCCATATAGAAGAATGGTGATATGCTTCCTTCACGCCAGATCTCACAACTTTTTTAAATGAAGAAAACAGGCCCTGACATGTGTCCTTTTAGGACATGGACGTGCAGCCTCATCCTCGAGCACCTGGCTAGACCAGGGACACCTGCTTGGCCCGGGCAGGGCTGCTTGGGGTGCGCCGAGCGGCGGACAGCCTGGAGTCCCAGCAGGAATGGCTGCTCGGCTCTGAGACAGGAGCCATCGCACTCTGGGTTCGAGAGAGGGCCCAGGCGTCCCGAGCAGAGCAAGGCGCGGGCTTCCGGCCAGCGGACAGGGACACTCACCGCCGTGTTGCTCCCTTCAGGCAGGCAACGGGGCCGGGTCCACGCCCGGGAACGTCCTGGACGTGTTTACGCAGTACCGAGGCCTGTCCTGGAGGTGAGTGAGGTGCGGCCGGCCCCCGAGACCCACTTGGATCCCTGCCCCAGTATCAGGAGGAGCCCTGGGCAGCGTAGAAAGTCATCCCTCCCACAGAGGGATGTGCCGTCTCGTATTTTTCGTGAGAAACTTCTGGGTTGAATTCGAGGAAGGTATTCATCAGCTTTCCCTAACCACTGCACTTCCTAAAGCAGGGCCTGGGACCGGGAGGAGCCGTCTGGGGGAGACACCAGGGAAATGTTTGGGGTGGAAGAGCTTCTCCAGCTTCCAGTTCTCCCCGTGGGAACGGATCCCAGGCAGAGGCAGTGGTCTTTGGAGCCAGAGTGTGTCTGGAACCCTGGCTGCCCAGCTCTGTGCAACCTGGGCAAGTGACCTACCCTCTCTGAGCTCGTCCCCTCATCTTTGATAATATTGTGTGAGCACTGTCGGGAGGATTAGAACCGAAGCTCCCGGCGCCATGCCTGGCACAAAGTAGGTATAAATGGTAGCTGGCATCCCTATGAAAGGATTTTCGGTGGACAGGTGAGGAACGCTCAGAGAAGACAATGACCTGTCCCAGATCACACAGCCAGGTCAAAGGCCAGGAAGTAGTGTGGAGGCTTGTGGACACTTCACACGGCGGCTTCCCCCATTGCCCGATGCTTCCTGCAGGCTTGTTCCTGCCCCGACTTGAACCCAGGCGAGCACAGGCCTGGGGGTTGCTCAGCCTGGAATCCGGCCTCCCTGGCACCAGCTGGTGTTGAGTCCCTGGCATCGTCGCTGGCTCGTTAAGCCCCACCCACTTGGAGAGCCTTTTACAAGTTCCCAGGCGTGTTGGCAGAGGAAGAAGGACTATGGGAAGCAGGGAACCCAATAAGCTCCGGAATGGTGCATGTTTTCATGCCTAGAAACGTTTACTTCCCCAGAATGTTAGAAGTGCTTGGGAGCTGGTGCTCTCTCGGTTCAGACACCTTGGAAAGCGGGTTTGCCCAAGCCCAAGGGGAGGAGAACATGGAGGGCAAACCCTTGCACTGTGTTCTCAGTAACAATAGCCACGCCCAGCCCCTGGCCAGGGGGCAGGACGGGAGCTGGGGAGAAGGGGATCCACTTGGATCCCTGCCCCAGTAACATTCAAGGTAAAATGTGCAAAGTCAGCCATGACTGTTTCTTGCTTAGATGTTCAGGTTTGCGGGGGAGAGGGGAGAGGCGTTGCTGTAGTCTGGTTTGTTTTTCAAAGTTTTTTTTGTTTTTTTTACTGAAATCATAAATGAAAGACAGGCTCCAAGCCCCCTGGGTGTTTCTCAAAAGATGAGAGGTCTGTCTTGCTAGCGTCTGGGTGTTTTGGCATCGCTGGGTTTTCTAATCTTCATTTTCTTTTTTTTCTTTCTTTCTTTTTTTTATTCCCACAACACAGCGTGGGCGGAGACGGGAACGTCAGCAGCGTCATCACCCTGGCCAGTGAGTACTCGCTCCCTCCCTCGGGAGTTTAGGGCGGGTTTGCAGTCACCCTGCGTGTGTCTTCCGCGCCCCCTGGTGGCGGCCGCGGGCATAGCAGGGGACCAGGTGGCAGGAGGCAGCCGCATTGGACAGGGGGCGCTGCTTCGCCATTGTGGTCGCCCTGCTTTGCTTCTGGAGAGTGATAAAAGCTGGGAGGTGGTTTTTCTTTTCTTTTGAGAAATTGTATTTGTCCAAGGAAGAGAACACGAAAGGAAAAAAAAGACACCTCAGGCCAAATCTTAGTGCAAGTCATTATGAAGAAATGATTCAAGAAGGAAGGAAAGGAAACCCATCTCTGCTATGGCCTATCCAAAGAGCAGAGCACCTCACCTTTCTGCCCAGCAGTGATGGAGGCTAGGGCTGCATTAGGCACCACATGCAGGCATTGAATTCCCAGGTGCCGCTTTAGGAAACGCGTACTGAGCGATAACAAAGAAGTTACCTCGCTCAGGCTATGCGAACACAGTCGCCTTTGGAGTTTTCTTTCAATTATTTCACCCACAGCCTGCTTGCAATGATGTGTTCAAGCCTGACTAGGTTCTCTGAAAACCTTGTCTTACTCATCTTTTTATTCCCCTTTGTGGGTGCACATCACCATGCTGGTTCTTAAGGATACCTGCAATAAATGTTAAAAATGAATCCCCCCCCCCCCCTAAAATCTATAGCTAATAATTATACCTGAGAGGAATTCCCTCGGTCCAGTTCTCATTTACTCTTCCTGTAATATAGGCCTTTGTCATCTATCTTTAGCAGCTAGGAAGTTATTTGAGCTCTAAATCACTAAGAATTTGGGGATTGCTTCATCTCCACATAGGCAGAGTTGATTGTGCTTCACCTTGGTTATCTGTTTCTGCTATTTATAAATCCTGTTGAATTTAAGCAGGTACAGTCCTATGGCACAAGGACTCCCTGTCTTCTTTATTTCTAGATCTACACACGAGAGCTATAAATAGCCTCCCTATTGCTAGGAGATGCTTTGGGTTGCTTTTGTAAGTGTGATTGACTGGCTCTGAGCTGGCCCCGCCTATACAATAGCTTGCTGGGCTTTCTAATTCCCACACTGTTATCATGGATAACATAATTGAAAATCAACAGGCCCAAGAGCTTTCACCAAAGAGACTGACAAAGGATTGAGACTATGTCACCCCTCAGGTGGACTCTCTTTACACACTTAGCCCATGCGAAGGCCATTCAATGGGGAGGGGGGGGGGGAGTTAGTCCTTTCAATAAATGGTACTGGGGCAACTGGACAGCCACATGCAAAGGATGAAGTGAGACCCCTACCACACACCATACACAAAAATCAACTCAAAATGAAATGCAGACCTACATGTAAGAGCTAAAATTAGCTCTTAGAAGAAGATAGAGGAGCAAATCTTCATACTCTAGTTTAAACAATGCCTTTTTAGGTATGGCACCAAAAACACAAGTGACAAAAAAGAAAAAAATAAATATATTGGACAAAAGTTAAACACATTTGTGTTTCAAAGGAAAAAGCCCAAAGAAAGTAAAAGACAACCCAAAGAGTGAGATAAAATATTTGCAAGTTATACATTTGATAAGAAACTGTGTCTAGAACATATAAAGAACTCTTATAACTCAGCAATAAAAAGACAACCCAATTAAAAATGGGCAAAGGCAACACTATGGACGTTTTTAATATTATTGAACTGTACACTTAAAAATGGTTAAGATGGTAAATTTTATGTTAGTTTTACTGCAATTTTAAAAAATTGGGCAAAGGATTTGAATCAACATTTCTCAAAAAGAGATATACACATGGCTAATACGCATCTGAAAAGATACTTGATATCAGTGACAGTCAATGCGAATCAAACCACATCATTTCACAGCAACTAGAATGGCTATAATAAAAACACAGCAAATAACAATAAGTATTCGTGAGGATGTGCAGAAACTGAAACCCTCATACGATGCCAATGGAACATACAATGGTAACATCATTGGAAAAAACTCTGTGAGTTTTTCCAAAGATTAAACAGATACCCAGCCATTCTACTCCTAAATCTGTACCCAAGAAAAATCCAGGCAAAAACTTGTACACAAATGTTTACATTTGCATTATTTGTAATGGCCAAAAAGGTGGAAATATCCAGGTGTCCTTCAGCTGATGGATGAACAAGTAAAATGTGGCCTGTCTGTACACGGGGATATTATTTGGCCATAGAAAGGAACGAGGTGTTGACACCTGCTGTATCGTGGGTGAACATTGGAAGCACTATACTAAATGAAAGAAGCCAGCCACAAAAGACCTATTGTGCTGTATGAATCCTTTTATATGAAATGTCCTGAATAAGGACATTTGTATATAGAGAAAATAGATGAATGGCCGCCTATATTTGTATATAGGAAAATAGATTAATGGGTTGGAGGGAACGGAGAGTGAGTGACTGGAGGGAATGGAGGGTTTCACTTTGGGATGATGGGTACAGGGTTTCTCTTGGGGGTGATGGAAATGGTCTCAGGTTGACTGTGGTAATGGATGCACAATTGCACTAACGCTATTGAACTGTATACTTTGAAATGGTGTGTGCATTATCCTAATAAAGTTATATACTTGGGGGAGGGGAGGGAAATGATGGGAGAAGCACTACTCAGACTCACGTTTATTCAGCAATCATTCATTGTAAGTGGCTGGGAGTGCTGCCCAAGCTCTGCTTGGCTCTGAATATCACTGGCGCTTAGTAGAGGAATTTGAACATTACTTGGGGGTGGGGTGGGAGACTCCTGAGCATGACTCTTCCTTGTATTTCCAGACATTCTCCGGGAATTCAACCCAAACCTGACAGGCTTTTCCGTCGGCACTGGGAAAGAAAACAGCCCCGGAGCCTTCCTAAACCAGGCTGTGGCCGGAGCCGTCTCTGGGTGAGCAGGGGAGCCCGGGGGTGAATGCAAGGTCTCTGGGGACCTAGTTGGGGGCGTGGCCTAGACTGGGATATATGACAGTCGGGGAGGCTGGTCCAGGGGGAGGGTCTGAGGGTCAAAGACTGGACGAGATGGGCTCTCCTGAGGTATCCCTCGCTGTGGGACACAGAAAGCTGCTAGCCTGCCTCCAACTCCACCCCAGGGACTCGTCACAATTGACCCTGATGCCAGGTATATGCTTTGAGCAAATTCCTTTTCTCCTCTGTGAATCTCATGTGACCAGAGATTCCGTTTTTATTATTAATTTATTCATATTTTACGCCCTCTTCTCTGTCCCTTCCTCAGACATGCTTGTTGGGCTCTGGACTTCACATGCCCATGTCAGGAAGGCACCCTAGAATGAAACCTTAGCCCCACGGGCCTTGGGGCTCTTTCATGCAAGTAATGCATTTGCCCAAGCACACCCTGAGTTGCAGGGAAGAGTGAGAGATGATTATCCCCGTATCACAGAAATGGGAGCACAAAGAGGCCAAGTGGCCTAGAAAGATGCATCAACTCAATGACATGGCCTGCAGGGTTATCCGAGGTTTGATCATCACCCCTTACACCGGTACAGCAGAGCACAAGTTACACAGTGCCTCTGTTACTGTTATTCTTTGTGTTCTGCACAGTAACTGTGAGTTGGACAAAGCAGAGGGTCAGATACCCATGTTTTCTTAATGATGATACTGAGGCTCAGAGAGGCCAATGAATCACCCCAAACTCTGGCCCCACATCTGATAATTTCAGACATTGAGATGAGGAAATCGGGCCTCCAAGAGGTTGCAAGGCTTACCCAGAATTCCTGCCCAGGCTGACTGGTACCTGGTTGATAGTGACTAAGACCAGGCCAGTTGGGCTAGCAGCTGAAAGGAGGAGGAAGACTGCTCGTGTTTCCTACAGGGCACTGTGCCAGGGACTTTACTGGTGATGATGGTGATGATGATAGTACAAATATTTCAGTGGATGGTTTATAATATGGACACTCACCATGTGCTGTTCTGAGATTTTGTTGTTGTTTTTTTTTTTTATATTTCATTGATTTCTTTACAGAGAGAAAGGGAGAAGGATAGAGAGTTAGAAACATGATGAGAGAGAAACGTGGATCAGCTGCCTCCTGCACACTCCCCACTGGGGATGTGCCTGCAACCAAGGTACATGCCCTTGACTGGAATTGAACCTGGGACCCTTGAGTCTTCAGGCCAACACTCTATCCACTGAGCCACACTGGTTAGGGCTGTTCTGAGTTCTTTATGGGCACCGTATTTAATCTTCCCAGTGACTCTGTGGAGAAAGTATGCTTACCATCCCTGCCTTACAAAGGCAAGAACTGAGAGTGGGCAAGGGTAAGTTCTAGCCAAGGTCTCCGAGCTGGCCAGTGGTGGGACCAGCACTCAAACCCATGCTGCCTGGCGCTCATAAGGGCTCTTCCTCCATGGGTCAGTTTTGACCATCTCACTTACTGCTCCCAATGACCCTCTAAGATTGGGGATTTATCTCCATGTTTGCAGGTTTTTGTTTGTTGTTGTTTTTTTGCTTTTGTTTTACTAGGTACATAAATCACATTCCCACAGTTAGCAAGAGGTAACTAAATGTCATACCCACGTGTGTCTGGCTCAGCTATGTCACCTTGAGAGTGAGGGCCCTTTGAGGCTGAGGTCACGGCAGGAGTCATGCATGACACCAAACACTCACATGCAGCCTCCATGTGCCCTGAGTGAGCATGGCTGGGGGAGAAAGTGTATAATCCAGTCAGGAAACAAGTCCTCCAGTGGTCCCTGTCTCACCGTGGAGTGTTCCGCTCATCCGTAGACATGACGCCCCCCCCCCCCCCCCAGCTCTGAGATGGCATGGCCTTCAGTCCAACTTCCCTGCTGTTTATTTTGTTCCTGTCCTCTGCTGAGTCCCCTCCCAGCCCAGCTTCACAGTCCCAGCTCCTCACATGACTTCTTCCTGGGTCTGCCCACAGGGATCTGCCTGCTCAGGCCAGGAGGCTGGTGGGCCTGATGAAGAATGACACGGTAAGTCTCGGGGAGGAGCCACCTGGGGCCACTTGAGGTCAGACTCCCCAGAGCAGGGATTGGACGGGAGAAATCCATGGAGACAGAGAGAGTCAGCTTAGGAGGAGGACAGGGCCATGTGGAAGTCTAGAAAGTCCACCTTTTGAAAACAACAACAAAAAAAACAACAAAAAAACACACAATGATTTAGTATAGGGGTGTCGAACTCAATCAGAGAAGGGGCCAAAATCTAAAATCCAGCCTAAATCGCGGGCCGAATGGTTTACTGAACAGTCATAAACTGTCATTGTGATGGAAACGCAGCGGAGTGCAGTGATGACAGCGTGGTGCGGGCCACATTGCAAGGCCTGGCGGGACGGATTTGGCCCGTGGGCCTTGTGTTTGACACATGTGATTTAGTACCTCTGACCTGTGACCTATGACCTCAGAGCCCCAAAACCAATAAACAGGAAACATCAGTGTCCTCTAAACCCTGTGGTGTGTGAGGACCCTCCCCTAAGAGTATTCAGCACTTTGCATTTTCCTTGATTTGACTCTGGGATAAGGCATTTACTTGTTTGTTTGTTTTCATTTCAGAGGGTAAATTTTGAGGAAGATTGGAAGATTATCACCGTGTTTATAGGAGGCAATGACCTCTGTGATCACTGCAATGATCTGGTAGGTCCCAGGCCCTTAACTCAAGACACACACAACCCCCCCTCCCCCCCAGGGACGGATTTCCACCACAGGTGCCTGGAGCAGTGCTGTTGGGTTGGGACTTGGGGCTTGTGGTTTGGCATGGATCCAACCTTGGAATAATCCCAAGACTGAGTGGGCATTGACCTCCAGGATGAGATTTTAGCAGGACGAGCAGCACTGCCAATGAGATCAATCCTCATTAGGTTTCTGTGGAGGAGGCCTGATCCTATCATTCTATAATAGAAACCAAGATAACATTCCAGTGCTCCCCAAACCTGGCATCTCTTTGTAAGTCAGCTCCTTTCTCCTGGGTTGAGCAGCCTCGCTTCTCTGCCTTCGTGCCGTCAGTTGTATGGGAAAGTTGATTTCCTAATGCAGGCACTTGGGCAAAGTCCAGAGCCCAGTCATTCTAGGCTGATGGGAAGCCCAGGAGCCAGGCGGCTGCCCTGTGGGTTCAGTGCCTCTTCCTGGAATCCCAGGTTCTCTGAGCTGGAAGAAACCCACAGCAATCCTGACCAGTCTCCACCCACAACAAAACCGCCTTTCGCAGAATTCAGTGGTTGAACATTTCCAGTGATGGGCAGCTTTTGAACTTGTAAGGCAGCCCTAAGTAGTATTTGGCGTCGGTGTAAATTGCTTTGTGTTAAGCCCGAATCTACTTGGTGATATACATACCAATGGTGATATCTATGCTGGGCACGCCTCTTCTACACTCAATTCAGCTGACTTTCTTTTAAGTAGGTTTTTTTTTTAATTGTGTAAGTAATACACACAGAAATCATATCAAAGCCCAGAGAAAATTATGTTCTCTGTACCATATTTACAACATCCAGAAATGCCGTTGCTAACATTTTGATATGTGCCTAGCATTTTCTGTAACTATGGAGAAAATGCTTTCTTATTTTCTAAAACTGGTATCAACCTGAAAATATTGTTTGGTAACCTGCTTTCTTTCTTTTTTTCAATAGCAACACATTGGGAAGATATTCCTATATCAATATTTAATTCTTAGTTGCTGTATAGTAGTAGCCCATCATATAGATTGGCCATAATTGAGTACTTAGCTTATATTACTTCTGATTAGGCCTATTATATATAACACCAGGATAAGCAACCACCTTTATGTACATCCAGAACTATTTCCTGATATATTATATTCTGAGTAGTAAGCTCTCTAAGCAAAAAGATATATATATTTCTCCCCACCCCCCATGTTTTATTATGAAAAATTTCCAAACATATTGAGAGGCTGAAAGACTGGTGCAGTAAGTGCCCATAAGCCCACCACAGAGACTTTAAGGTTGTTAATACTGTGCCACATTAACCTATATCTGTCCATCTATCTCATTTGGGGGTGACTCTGCATATTTTTAAAGCTTTGTGTACATATTGCCAAATGGCTCCCAGAATGTTTATACCAATTATGCCTATTTCTCCCTATTCCAACTGGCAATGTATGTTATTTAATAACTGCTAATCTGATCAATGAAAAAAAAATTGTATCATTTTCAAATTTTGCATTTATTTACTTTCTAGGTGAGAATACATTTTTATTTCCTTTGTTTGAATATCTCCTTTTGATAAATTCTACATTATGCCCTTTGGCCATTTCCTATTAAGGCATTTATCTTTCTTTATTGATTTACAAAAACCCCTTATGTCAAGTATACTAACCCTTTTTCATATATGTTGCCTATTTGTTGCCTTCCATTTAGCTTTGTTTACAGTGTTTTCTGATAAACAGGACTTTTTTTAAATTTTATTTCTAGTATCGTTTGCCGGGCACGTATTATACGCCAGGCATGGTACTAGGAGCTAAACAAACAAGTGAAAACACAGTCTCTGTCCTCAAGAAACTCCCACCGTCAGGGGAGGATGACACAGGCAATTCACCATAACACAATTGAGAAAATCCCATGTGTGGGTCTGGTGAAACACTGAAGGCAGAATTGCCCTGGGAACTTGGGAATTTGGCATGGGGTGGGAGGAGTGTCAGAGTTTATACAGACTTAGGAGACTTCCCAGCTGGCACTGAAGGCTAGGACATTTGTCAGGCAGAAATTTAGGAAGCTGAGCAAAATTTAGGAAGTGGTGAGTCTTGCTGTGGCCCTAAGAGGTGACCCTGCTCCCAGGCCCCTCCTTTCCTGCATTGAAGTCCTGGCATCTGGCTTTTTCAAGCTCTGATGTAAGGGGCCCACAGTGGAGCCCTGGGGCTCTGGGGCCGGTGGGGAGGTGGAATCATGGGCCCTCCACCACTTCACCACAACTCTGATTAGTTTGGTAGGGCAAGGCTTTTGATTAGACTTCATTCAGAAAGGATGCCACTGCTTTAAAAAAGTGTAAGGACCACACCGAAATCAAGAGAAAATGACCATTCAAGTATGTTTTTGCCTGCGAGAGGGGTTCACAGGACCCCCTTGCCCTCCATTATCTCCTGGAGTGACTTGGTTGGGCTGTGGATTCCCTGGCACATGAGGTCCGGTGGGGAATCTTTTCTCTACCAAAAGCCATCTGAATATTTATAACAGATCATTGGCAGGCCATACAGAATTAGCAATTTAAAAATTGGCCTGCTCTATTTGTTCAAACATTTCATTAACTCATCCCTAATGCCTCGGCAGGGCCAGACCAAATGATTTCTTGGGCCTTAGATGGCCCCCGGAACGGACCTCCCCCACCCCTGCCTCAGCAGAAGAGGTCAAGGCAGAGGACCAGAGGATGTTCAAGCTGCAGGAGCTCTTAGGGGTCCTCTGCTCCAACACCCATTATAGAGGGACCCGGAGATGGGTTGTGGCTTAGCTAAGGCCCTGCATCGAGTTGATAGGACGTGGATCTAGAGCTTTCCATCGCTCCATGGAGGAGAAAGGGTACTTCCCCTGCAGAAGAAAGGGGTCATGAAAAGCCTGAGGCTGTAGGGTTGGTATGGAGGCTTGGGACCCCAATGCAAACCTATGCTTCAGTGGTGCCCATTCTGGCTGAAATATAGGAAGGAGGGAATCCAAGAGAAGAAGCCGCCTGGTCTGCATAGAGATTGGGTGACGAATGGTCTGAGATGTTTCCTCTTCCTGCAGGCCCGCTACTCCCCCCAGAACTTCACTGACAACATTGGGAAGGCTCTGGACATCCTCCACGCTGAGGTACCGGGGCCGGGTCACGGGGCCTCTGTGCAGCTCAACCACAGTTCTCCTCAGGCCTCAGACCAGCCTGGAGGCGGCTCTGGCTTCTGGCTGAGGTGCCTTTTCCTGGTGCCTTGACCTGGAGACCAGAACGACCATGCTGTCTGTCCTGGTCCCAGCAGCCTAAACACATGGGTGTCGATGGGGAGGAGGAGGGAGAGGCAGGGAGAGGCGGTGATGCAGGAAGTGGATTGGGCCAGATGGAAGGCCATGGGCCTGACAGCCAACAGGGGGGCTGCCCAGCCTCCAGCCTCTCAGGGACTGGTCTTGCCTTTGCTCAGGTCCCTCGGGCGTTTGTAAACCTGGTAAAGGCTATGCAGATCGTCAACCTGAGGGAGCTGTACCAAGAGAAGAAAGTCCCCTGCCCACGGCTGATCCTCAGGTAAGCTCCTGCTCCTGCTCCTGCTCCTGCAAGGGACATAGCACCCTGAGCAGAAAGTTACTCTGATGAGTTAGGAGAGCCCAATGCAGAGTGTGAGCAGTGCCAGGACCGCCCCATTTTCTAGCCTGACAAGGTCTAGTGGAGGAGACTCTTATGACCTCAGCTACCCTTGGAATATGCATTTGCAACCTAACATGCTTCTGCTGTCACGGCAGCTCAGGACACCCTCCATCGGCCAGGGAGGGAAGAGTTGAGCGTGAGTCATGGGGGCCTGTGCAGACCTACTTTTCAGTGTATGCAGAGCGCCCCCTTCCCAGGGCCCCATCTCTAGGACAGAGGGAGCCTCTGTCTGGCATGGTGCTCCAGGCTGGGTGCTCACAAACGTAGGGCTGTTGTCACTTGATGGGAAAGAAGGTGCTCCAATCAGAACCAAGAGGGCCCAGAGGACAGAGTCTTCCCCGGAGAACGGACGCCCAGCTCCTAGGAAGCCAAACAGAGGGGGTGCCCTCTCTGGTATCCCACGTCTGCATGACCCTCAGGAACAAGATGTCCTTCTAGCCCGAGCACAAGGCCTCCTCTGGACCATCCACTGAGGTCATGGTGGCTCTGCCCATCCCCCAACTGCCCCCAGCTCTGTAGCGCCTCAGCATATCACATGGTATTTATTCATGTGCCTCTCCGCCACAGCCCTGAACTCTATGTCTGAGTCACTGCCAGCACAGCACGGAGGCTCAGCGGCTGTTGGCTGAAGGGCTGAATGAATAATTCACAAGGTCCAGATTTGCTCGTTGAAATGAAGGGATACTTGGCTGGTCCCCTGAAGATCCATGCCAAACCTCACCTCAGGGCCCAGACTGCACAGGTCCCCCCAGGAGGCCTGAGGGAGCTGAGATCAGGGGGGCGGCTGCCGG